CGTTGGCGGATGGCTAAGCCAAACACATAAATGTTCTTTCTCTCCACAAAAGGCTTACCCTTCCAGAAGGTGTAGCCAGACCCCCGTTCTGTGAATTGGCCCTCATTTGGGAGCCTGGACTCATTGATGGCTGCTATGTCGATGTTATACTTAGCCAGCTCTTTTGCCACAAGGGCAGTTCTTCTTTCAGGATGCACATTTGTGCCAGTATCCAGAAGGGTCCTCACATTCCATGTAGTGACCATAAGAGGTTGTATGGTTTGTTTTTGTTTGGATCTGTGATTTTGATTGTGTTTTAGACTGCCTAAAGATGACCTTACTGGGTGCGGTTGTCCAGTGAGGTTGGGTTTTTAGGCAGGCTATGCTTAGGGCACCTTTTCTAGCCCCCTCCCCATGTGGGGTGAGCAGAGAGGCTCCTCGGAAGGGGTACTCAGTCGCACAGACAAGACCGGATTTCATTTCTGCATAGGTTCCAGTGCACAAACGACCATCTTATCTGTGCCGCCCATGTGCAGAGTTGTGAATAGATTCTCCCGGCAGTCATTTCTGCCTGTCCCCGTGGCCACTTGTCCGTCGCTATAGGACTTTTGGGGGTATAAGGGGTTTTGATGATGATGAGAGGTATGATGAGCTGGGTGATGGCCGCACGTGAGTTGATTTATGTGGTGAGGCAGGAGCACAGGCTACAACCACACATCTTGGCTCTCCCTCTTCCTGATCCAGTGGTGCAAGTGTTGCAATGACTAGGGAGGAGGGAGAGTTGCAATGGACTGCCGATAGCACAGTTTGTTGGGTTTCGCCTTAGTAGCCTGTTAGTCATTGCCTTCGTCCTCAGATGTAGTCGTTGGGTTTCCATGGTTGTCACCTCCTCCGCCTACACCGCCTTTGGGGTCATGTTGGAGCTCTGTAAGCATGTCTGCCTGATGCGGGGCTCCACCGCAGATTTTCGTTCTGGGTTTATTCCCGTAGCCTTATACCTGCCAAGGTTAATCCGCAAGGCAGCGGGCCGGTGATTGGTAGGCGCCAGGGCGTGTCCACATGCCAGTGAGCCTATGCACTGTCCCTCTGGGGCCCACTGCTACTCTGAGATCTCCTGTTTATCTAGCCTGGGCCCACGAGGCACCCAGTTACCGTGTGTTGCCACGAGGAGGCACAGCAGGAGTTTTGATGGTGAGGAGGCTGTGTACTGGCAGGGGAAGACTTATGCAAGTTGCTTCCCTGTTCGCCACGAGGGCTGGCCAGCGGCGGCAGCTGAAAGCGAGAGGGAGCAAGCAGTGCTTGCACCTTAACGCTAACATAATGCTGCCACCTTAGACGCATTTCACCACCCTGTGGTCGAGAGCACACACACACACACACACACACAATATTTTCAAGTGTTCAAAGCTGAAACGTTGTGAATTCCAAAATAATACTAAAAAATACTGAAAGTGTAAAACCGATACTCTTAGGAACATAATGAGTAGGAATTGCCGATCCACCCCCGAGAGGGCTTCACCAGGCGTACCAACTACAGCAATAGGAAGTAAACAAACATAGTGTACACGGTGTCCACGTTGAAATGAAATAACTGTGAAGTCTTATAAATTTGTAAGTACAAATTTGATTATATTGAAACTTGCAAAGTTACCACACCATATAACTACGTTTCTATGATTACAGTATTGTTTCTTTTTGTGTTCCAGATTGACTTATGATATCCCACAAGAAAAGACTAAATGTGTTTTATGGATGGCTCAACTGAGTCACCTACTCCGGTGCAACGACGATTCGTACAACGCTTGGCAACGAACCACCGACATTGTGAGACCTGTACGCATGGTTGAAGCAATTTGAGGAGACTGGCAGTGTTCTAAAAATTCATGGTGGAGGAAAGCCCAAAACATCAGAGGAGGAAGTTGAGCGTATACATGTTGCTTTCCAAAGAGACCCAGTACCGGTACCGTGCCAGTACCAAACTGCAAATTCCAAGTTCATCTGTGCAGAAAGTCGTTAGCATACGACTGCAACTCTATGCTTCAACTGGTTCAGCAGCTCAGAGTGGATGATTTTACCCCACTCAATTTTTTTTCTTTTGGGTTATGTGGAGTTCAAAGTGTACTACACAAACGTGCAGGGCATTGCTCATCTGAAAGAGCATATCACAGCGGTGGTGGCCTCCATAACTCCTGACATGTTAAAAATGTGTGGAGGAAAATTAAGTCATAATAATAATTAATATTCAGTCAGTAAGACCAAGGACAGCTGTCAACGCCATGAGAAGTTTCTTTCCAGTAGAGTCCTTATGCCAGCAACATCTGGTGTCACTCATTCAAGTACTAACCAGACCCAATGTTGCTTAACTTCGCTGATCGGGCAAGAAGTGGTGTTTCCAACGTTGTGACTTAGTCCGTACACCAAAATTAATGAAACTCAAGCATTATGAGCTGTGTGAATATTCTTGTGTTTGTACTATTCAATAAGAATCTATAAGGCTTCAAAGTTGTTTCATTTCAATGCCATATCTCTGTGTGGAACCTTTTCATCGGTGGGACAAGGATTTGTGGTAGCCAGCTGTATGTACGGTGGGTGTAAAATGTTCATTGAATCTTGAATGAAAAAATTCTATGCCAATTAAATATTTATTTCGTCAACACATATTATACCTCCAGTGCCTAATCCTCAATATATCTGTCAGCCAAAAAGTTATCAAGTACTATGTTAAATTTTTATATTCTTAAATAGCTTATTCGTTAAATTATCTACAAAGCGTGAATATTTGTCTCGGGAAAACGCTCAAGAGAGTAAGGGCAATATAATAGAAGGCTCACCTCGGGGAAGTGTCAGAGAGACTGATTAAATGCAACATAAAGCGAAGAAGGTTTACATAAATGGGATGACGTTTATTTCGTCTAATGTCACAATGACCTTTTACGGTGAAAATATCATATTCCCAGCGAGGCTCGGGAGAAACAAACACCTACTGGGCGACAGTGTGACGGGTCTATTCACCATCTCATTCTAAACGCTTCATGGATTTCAAACTTATCTTAACAATGATGATGTAAAGAATTCCTGTCAGCCTCATACCTGTAGGCAATACTATAACTTTTGATTAAGTAAAGTTCAGAAGTTGTTATTAAGCAGCTCTTAGCAAAGACACTACAGGCAACTGTCCAAGATTATGATAACCACATCATGAACTGTGTTGTCCACTCTACATACAGGATATATATATATATATATATATATATATATATATATATATATATATATATATATATATATATATATATAAGACAAAGAAGTATGTCTGTGTGTTTGTGTGTGCGTTTGTGTGTGGGTGTGTGTCCGCACGAGAATCTCGGAAACTACTTTACCGATCTGTAGTGATGATGGATGGTGTTATATGTAGTAATGATGGATGGTGTTTTATGTAGTGATGGTGGATGATGATGTTATAAATAGTGATGATGGATGTTGTTATATGTAGTGATGATGGGTGGTGTTATATGTATTGATGATGGATGGTGTTATATGTAGTGATGATGGATGGTGTTATATGTAGTGATGATGAATGATGTTTTATGTAGTGATGATGGCTGGTGTTATATGTAGTGATGATGGATGGTGTTATGTGTAGTGATGATAGTTTGTGTTATATGTAGTGATGATGGATGATGTTGTGTGTAGTGATGATGGGTGGTGTTATATGTAGTGATGATTAGATAATAAAATAATAACAGTTTTACGCTAAAAAAATATACTTTGCTGTACTGTTGTAGTGAAAAACATGGTGGAACTTACATACACCGTTAATGAACTATTGATGGAAGAAGAAATTTTGGGGACTGAACAGTGACACAATGCCGAGCCTCTCTGAGGGTGGCATCCTACTGTGGCCTAGCGAAAGAGCCGCCCGGAGGGCGGCGATTCCGCTTGTGTATATATATATATATATATATATATATATATATATATATATAATTCACATCTTAGGGTGAATTACACGAAAGCGCGGGAACTAATATCAGCATATACCTAGATCACGTGCACCTACAGTGATTTACTTGCATATATATATATATATATATATATATATATATATATATATATATATATATATATATATATATATATATATATATATACATATATATATATATATATATATATGTATAAATGTGTGTGCGTGTGTGTGTGTTGGTAGTAACAGAAGGTGAAGGAGGGGTAAAAGAGGAAACTGTATTGTGAACGACAAATTTATGTATTTATTTTAAAAGAATGAGAACAGTAATGTCGACTACGATTAAGTCTTCAATTACAACAAGACTGATATAAATATGAATTTTGTGTGGACGCGAGACACACGTTACTAATCATAGGAAGCGATATACAAAACTGTTATCTATAACTATATTCATGGATGCGAGCTGGTCATAAAACTTAGGCAATAAAACCCAGTGTAGATACTAAAAGGGTTACGAATATGTGAGAGTGAAGGTGACAGCAGTGAGGGAGGGAAGGAAGAATGGAAAATAACAGTAATTCAGACGTCAAACAACTGATGTAGCACCGGAACTAATGAGTAAATACTGTACTTTGTACAGTACATAGGCAGAAATAACGTTATACGCCGATATAAAAATAAACTAGAACTACGTAATGGGGAGACAGTGAGTGCCATTCTTTTACGAAATGGTAAAGTGACACAATGACACAGTAAAGTGAAGTATAGTGGGACAAAGATACAGTGATGTGTGATATTGTGACACATTGATGGTATCTTCCAGGACTTTCATGAACAAATGTAGTTAATAGCTGAGTACCGTGTCGTGGACAACAATAATTGTAGTTACTAGCAGAGTGTAGTGTCGTGGACAACAATAATTGTATTTACTAGCAGAGTGCAGTGTCGTGGACAACAATAATTGTAGTTACTAGCTGAGTGAAATGTCGTGGCCAATAATAATTGTAGTTACTAGCAGAGTGCAGAGTCGTGGACAACAATATTGTAATACCTAGCAGAGTGCAGTGTCGTGGACAACACTTGTAGTTACTAGGAGACTGCACTGTCATGGACAACAATTGTAGTTACTAGCAGAGTTCAGTTTCATGGATAATAATTATTGTAGTTACTAGCAGAGTACAGTGACGTGGAAAACAATTGTAGTTACTAGCAGATTGCAGTGTCGTAGACAAAACTGTACTTACTAGCTGTGAAAACATTAGAGCTTTGAGGATGATAACTGCAGCCGTGGAGAAAATAAAACTGTGTAGATGGTAACTACAGCTCTGGGGACAATAGCTACAGCTGAAAGGACGATAACTACAGTTCATGGGTCAATCTGCCTCTCAAACTTTTCAGCCTACGTTCAACCATTAATTCACCCATTACATCACATTTATTAATTGCATATCTGAAGAATAACATTTAAGTAACCGAACCAACCTGAGACTTTTGCTTTGTGTTATCGTCAGCACTACGGAAAAATTGTGACATGCCAAAACTTTTGCATGACGTGTCGCTTTCAGTTGTTGCCACAATGAGCGCAGCAGCCACATGTCTATCAACATTAACCAGCAAGTGATCGATCACAAGTACTCTCTGAGTCCTTTATAAATATATTGATAAATATACCCAGAAAATCTACTAAGCAGAACTAATAAAACTAAAAAGACTTAGGTACAGATAGAGCATAAAACAACCTGGAGACAAAAAAATTGGTTGACTTATATAACAAATAGCAGGCCACATTTTGCACTACCCAGAGGGTTTCTCATGCGTCAAGTCAGTTGAGTTGTGCACTTAAGGATGATAACACTCAAGCTCATCGTTCACTTGTTACAAGGATTAATATTAACCAAGGTAAAGTACCTTGTGTCCACGTGAGGACACATTAAAACAGAAGAGGAAGGTTCTGGCCTAGCTATTTGAAATTCCTTGCAAAGAAAATATATGTGCTGGTTTATTCCCATGTTACGGAATAGTGACTTCTTGAAATGGCTCAAAGTGTTTACAAGAGACACAATAATTCAGAAACGACATTTGTTGCCTGGCAGAGGTACACGCCAAGTCAACTGAATCAAGGCTGTTGTGTTCCTTCACTTTAAGTCACCTTAACTCACCTTAAGTGACAATTACAATATCTACACTCTTAAGTCAGAGCCAACACCTGAGACAACGTTCAGTAACTACAGTCGACCGGAACACAATGCACCTGCCACGCTAAAATCAATGTCAACGTTACTACAGCGTCAACGCTATATGTGCAATAATGTCAACACGAGTTGACAGAACAATGATGAGTTAAAGCCAATACGTTAACGGTGCCAACGCGTCAGTGACGTCTAGGTATGCACGTAATCCATACTGCCTAATTTAAGGAGTGCATTGTGGACAGTGATCATTGAATGCTAAGGATTAAATAGAGAAGGGAATTATCGTGTTGGTATAACAAACAAATAATACTCTAAGTGGAGTATAGTATATAAGTATAAATATAAGTTTGATTGTTTCATGTCCGTCTGTATATTTTCGGAGTTCTTAGTAAGTATTTTATTCGCTGATTTGTAAATGCATCTCTTTTTCGAAAATGGAAAATAACTTTCGCGATTTATTTGTTTCATAATTCCTAAATTCATGAGTCCCGCTCTAAAATTTAGGTAATTAAATAAATTGTAATTTAACGAAAAGTTATTCACAGAAAATTAACACTGCAGTATATTAAAACCCACAATGATTAAATTAAATTATTTGAAGGATGTTATAATGTCTTGCATAGTTAAAGGGTTATGGTGATCTTATAATTGACAGGTAAACCCATTAATTCGTGAAAAAAAATGAGAAAGGCGAGACTGACTTTCTTGGAGGATTCGTCGCCCTGAGCTGCCCAGTTTGAGTGTGAGTATTTAACAGGTGAGTTCTACTAGTCTTTTTGAGCGTATAATCGGGACTCTATTTACGCACCAGTATTGAAGAGGTTACATTAGCGCACTAGTGAAGGAATAGTAAATTAAACGCTGATGTAATATTTCTGCTGCATAACATGTGTCGTTAAAACTAGAAATATAACAGAAATTCGCGTGTATATAGTCTATGGCATATAATGTTCTCTATAAACATTAAAGTTTTATCCAATTAAGGTTTATATATATATATATATATATATATATATATATATATATATATATATATATATATATATATATATATATGAATGACTAAATGGCCAAATTGTCAATTCTCAATAGTTTCGGAGTTACAGCACATGACAAGTTTGGTAGGAATGTGATGAAACCTATGGGGTGTAAATGAAACACCCCCCGCTGCTAGCGACAGTTAACAATAATAATGCCATTTGATTTGTGCTTCACTCTCTCTCTTTTACAGGCACTTTAACGGGCAATGTTCGGTGGATTGGGCATCCTGTGTACCGCCGGCAAGGCCGTGGGCTTGTAACACTCGCCTTGCCTGCAGTGCCCACCGTTTCTCTGTGTCTGTCGGTCACACTAGAATAACCCGTTATTGTACATCCTTCTTTCCTCACACAGCCAAATTGTGGAATACTCTGCCTTGTTCACTGTTTCCATACTCATGCAATCTGTCTCACTTTAAAAAGCTGATTTTCCGGCATCTTCGTGGTGTAGATTAATATTATCTCTTTCTTATATATTTTTAATTTCCTTTTACTCTTATTTTTTCGCCCCCTAGTCCCCGTTGTGGGTCGATGACCTGTGCCCGGGTGGGTTATTCCACATAAAAAAAAAGAGAGCAAATGTTCAAAGTTCCGCCCCTCTTGCTCATGCAGGCTTCAACCCGTCGCACAAATGACTGTCGCACACGTTCAAAGACTCCAGGGGAGCTGTGAATGTTTGTCACACTGTCCTGTACACGGCGCCACAATTCCTCACGATTTGGGATCTCTGTAACAAACACCTTGCTTCCTATGTGACCCCACAGGTAGAAATCAAGGAGATTTATGTCACGTGACCGTAGGTTTCATCACATTCCTACCAAATAGAATATTTGGCTAATAGCAAAAAAAATTATGAATTTTTTAAAACATTTGACTGGCCATAAATCATGTAGATTATTATTAAATAAATCAGAAGTTTCATAGAAAACTTATCTAACCTTACTTATCGTAACGCAGTGTTTCTCAAACTTTTTCACTCCATTCCCCCCATGAGAAACACTCAACATCCTCGTGGCCCCCCTTCAGTTCTCTCCCAAGCCCCTCACAAATAATGATGAAAATAAACTGTTTTGGTTCTCTTCCTTTATTTTAATGTTTACAATCATCAAACAGAATGCATATTTTGTTACAGTTCAATGGCATTGTTTCCTTTCAATCAGTCGACTGATTCGAGGTTGAGTCACTGATAAAGCACATCTCATGTCTGGGTCCACATGTAACCGGTTTTGGCTTTTATTCTTTATTTGAAGAAAGGTAGAGAAACCAGATTCACATGAATAAGTAGTAGAAAATGGCAAGAGGACTCGAAGTGCGATCTCACTAACTTTTGGATATGACTTGATACATTGAGCACCAGAATACAGTCAGAGATTTTTCTTCACAGAGGTCTCTGGCAGCAGATTCGTTCCTGAGATCAAGGAATTCGTCATGACCATCATCGGGAATGGCAGCAATATCAAGAGTGCCAGAGAAAGGATTCACCAATTTCTCTTCTTCCTCCTCAAATTCTGGGAAGTACCTTTTGAGCTCACTTTCCAAGGATTTCAAGTCCTGAATTATTTTATTTTTGAGTGATGGGTCAAGTAGATGATCCTCTTCAATCTCGTCAAAAACAATTGAGATATTCTCAAACATGGCAACATTTCCTGCACTGACTTTCCTTTGCCAGTTCTGGAGTTTGTGAAGAAATGCACGAATACAATCCATGTGGTGAAACACATTTCTTTCCTTGCCTTGTAGCTTGAGATTCAGCCTGTTTAGCTGCTCAAATATGTCCGCCAGATACGCAAGACGTGGCTCCCACAACACCTCGTTGAAGTGACTTAGTAGATCATCCTTCCGATTCATTTCCAGGAACAACTTAAGTTCTTCCCGAAGTTCGAACACTCGATTCACAACATTACCCGTGGAGAGCCACCGCGCTTTGGAGCAAAAGAGGAGGGTTTCATGTTCTGAATCCAAGCCTCTACAGAGGTTCTGGAAAAGGAGAGAGTTCAAATCTCCTGCTTTCACAAAGTTGACGCATTTTACCACTGCCTCCAGGATCTTGCAAAGGGCATCAGGGAGGGTTTTCGACGCCAGTGCAAAACTATGGATCATACAATGAACCCCTTTGGCATTCAGAGCTACTTCCTTGACGTGCTTCTGTAACCCCGATTTCGATCCCAGCATCGCCGGAGCCCCATCAGTACAGCCCCCACAACAATTTTTCCAGGTGATCCAGTTACTTGTGAAGAAAGAAGTCAACTTTTCCATCACATATAAGGCTATTGTGGTAGTTTCAAGCTGTGTACAGAACAGATATTCATCCTTGATGTCACACAAGAATACATACCTAACAAACACGAGTAGCTGTGCACAAGAACTCACATCCGTTGACTCATTCAACTGTATTTGCAAACATACCAGTTGGAGACGATTTAATCTCCTGTATCACTTGTTCCATGATATCATCTGACATTTCACTAATTCTCAGCTTCACCGTGTCGTCTGACAAGGAAATCTGCTGAATCTTATGTTCACTTCCCTCTCCAAGAACCCGCTTGACCATCTTTAAAGCACACGGCTTAATTAAAGTTTCACCAATCGTGTGGCCTTCTTCTTCTTTGCTATTTCAATGGAAACCTCATATGATGCCTCAACTACACTTAAGTTCTGTTGTTGGATGGCACTACTCTCATCCAGTCTCTGCTTTCCCAAACTCCGTTCATGGCGTTTGAAGAAATCGGGGTCTCTTTCCGCATACTGTGGATGGATCGTCATCAGATGATGCTTCAGCTTACTAGGCCTCATGGAATCGTTCCCAACCACTTTGAAACACAACACACACCGAGGTTTCTCGATGCCATCAGCGAGGATTGATGTAAATCCGTAGTTAATGTATTCATCATTCTACTTCCGCTTCTTAGCAACTCTGGCAGCCATCGCAATTCTAAGGAAATTATAAAATACAATGCCAAACAGACAGAAACAGAAGAATGATAAACACTAAAAATTATAATAATACAAAAAGAAATATAAGACAATCACGAATCTCTTGGTTTTACTAAAAAAATTTAATCTCTCTCTCTCTCTCTCTCTCTCTCTCTCTCTCTCTCTCTCTCTCTCTCTCTCTCTCTCTAAATGTTAACTAGTTCTTTAAAAAACAGAATGTCACAGAAACAGACGATTATTAGACTAAAAAATTTAATAGTAAAAAACAAAAATTAGAAAATAATCCGTTGTGGGTCGTTTGACCTGTGCCCGGGTGGGCTAATTCCCGTAAAAAAAAAACAAAAAAAAAAACACAAACATGCATGAAGTCCATACATACTGTATGTAAACATACATAAAATGCCAATGCAATCACACGTAAGACATAGACATACAGTCCACTCACAGTACACTCACATATTTCCCTAATGATATCCTGAGCCAGACGGAGAACATTTGGTCTGATCACCACTTGTAATGCGATGACACACGGACATGTACAGAACACGTGAGATCAATGAATCATGCCAGCGCCCGTCACCCTGCTGACAGGAACTAGAATCGTGCAATCTAAACGAATCCGTTGGAAATGAAAAACTAGCTGCTGCACCATACTATGTAAATATCAAAATTGTACCGTATGGGTATTATGATTACACCCAATGACAAAAAAAAGACAAATAAAAAAAACTATTTCTCCCCTAACAAGGCAAAGTAACAAAAAAAAGTTGAATCAGATTTTCCACATTTTCTCCAAACATGGCTACCCTAAAATCTTGCCGTAGCGCCCTTGTGGGTCATGGCCCCCAGTTTGAGAAACACTGTCCTAACGGAATCTAACATAATTTAACTATACTAAACCTACAGTACATTAGGCATAATATAGTTATGTTATAATGGTAAACGACTTGTGCATTAAACAGAAAATTTTCCAGTATAAGAATTAATTTCCATTAACTTATAGCAATAAAAAAATGTATGCCTGTTTGACAAACACGTTAGTTGTTTTGTAAAGCTTAATCAGTGATTATCCCAATTTTCCTCACATGGTAATGCTGTCGACAAAAAAAAAATCAGCAGGTAGGGAGGGGGGACGGTGAAGACTTGACACCGTAGCACAGAGGTGACGATTAAAAGTCTGCGATTTTCTTTCTACACCACATATTTTTAGTTTAATTACGAGGCAGGTGTAGCTTATACTCTCTCCTTGCCGAAGTCTTTTTGTCCACAACTGTACAACTCCATCTAGTGCCTGAATTTGCGTTATCTTGTCCTGGTGTGGGGGGGGGGGGAATATGAAGTTCCCATCTTGTGACCTCAAATGAGGAGGTTGAAAGTGGATAGTAGCTAAATACACAAATTCAATATTTCATTGGCTGGTTCTTTACCAGAGTGAGTTTATTCCTAACATATTCTACTCCCTTTAATTAGTCTTATGATGATAAAAAGACAGACACTATTTCAGGCCTTTCTTTTGGATCATCGTCTCCAGGAGGTCCAACCACATGCCTCCCGTGCTTGCGGGCAGTGTGCCACCGAGAGCTAGCAAGTACTGTCCGAGCAAAACAAAGCCTTGGACATTAAACACAATTAAGTTTCCTTAATTGTGTTTAATGTCCAAGGCTTAAGAAAGAACAAGCACAAAATCAAGATTGGAACGTGGAATGTGAGGACATTATTATAAGGCTGGTAAGTATGCAAATGTGTGTAGGGAAATGAAAAAAGTGTAGTAGGGCATTTTTAGATTAAGTGAAGTAAGATGGACAGGTTCCAATAGCATTAGTGGTGAGGATTTTTACTTCATATATTCAGGTGGTGAAAAGCATGAGGTAGGTGTTGGTATTCTTGAAAGCCAGAAGTTGTGCAGTAGTGTAAAGGGATATTGGACTAAACCCATGGACTTGGTAACAATACAGGTTTATGAACCAACAAATGAAGTCTGAAATTTTTTATGAAAATTTAAAGAAAGCAAAGTACACCATGAAGTTTAATTAATGTCTGATTATAATGACTGATTTTATCGCCAAAGGTGGGAAAGGGAAAGAAGCACCAGAAATAAGACCACATGGGTTGGTTAATTGAAATTTGAGGAAAATATTAATTGAAAAAAAGATAATAATCGCAAATACATCTTTAAAAAACACCCAAGGTGTCTCTATACATGGATCTCACCCAAGGACAGTATAAATAACGTAGTCAGGAATCAAATAAATTATATTCTAATTTCGAAAATATTAAAAAATTCCGTAATCGGAACCAAGACCTATCCTGGGGCAGATTGTGAGTCAAACCATGTCCCAGAAATAAGTTTCGTGAGGATAAAACTTCTAAAATAAAAAGAAAAACTATGTACAATATCAAATGGGATTTAGGGACGCTCAAAATAGGGGTAGGGACAGAATATGAAATTAAACCGAAAATAGATATTCAGTATTGCAAAGAACCAGGACACCAATTTATTAATTACAAAGAAATAATGTTAGAGACTGGGGGAAAACTTACAGATCTTACAAGTGAATGGATGGCAAATAGATTTTTAAATAAAATATATAGACAAAAAGTGCGATGAAACGAAGTGAGGCTTACAAAAAAATAACAACGAAATTAAAATGAAATGTAGACATGCCAAGGAAGATGATACAGAAAGGAAATGCAAGGAGATGGAAGATGAAGAAGGATTAACTGTAGGGGACTGTACAGAAAAATTAAACACATGAACCAGAAAAAAGTAAGTGAATGGGGTGGGAATATTAAAAGCAAAGACAATAAGATCCTTTTTGAGACAGAAAAAGTAATATAGAGGTTAGCAGAGCACGTAGAAGAACTATACAATGATAAGGATAGAGTAGTGGTAAGAAACGAAAAGGGAATTTAGATTGAACTACCAATTCTGGAAACAGAAGTAGAGGTAGCTGTGAGCAAAATGAGAAATAATAAAACTTGTGGGGTTGATCATCTTCCAGTAGAATTTTTAAAACAAATGGGCAGGAATGAGATGCAGTGTTTGACTAAAATATAAAATTCATTATACTTTGAAGGAGACTTTCCCAATGATTTAAAAAATCAGCATTTGAGTTATTACCCAAAAAGCCAAGAGCCTCAGAGTAAATCCGGTTTAGAACACTTAGTCATGCCTGAAAACTTTTTTTAAACATATGTTTAAATAGAATAAAATTTAGAATAAACAGTGAGTTATCAGAAGATCAACTGAGATTAAAAAAGAAAAGGAACTAAAGAAACTTGATTTGGTTTGAGAATGTTGAGTGGAAGGGCTTCAGAGGTCCAAATAAATTTATACATCTGCTTTGTTGATTTTGAAAAAAGCTTTTGATAAGGTAAAACACAATAAACCTATGGAGATCTTAGAGAAATAAGCAGTATTGAAGGAGATGTTAGAATTAAAAAAAAATCTCTACTGGCAACAGGAGGCTGCAGTGTTAGTTGAAAGTTGACAGGGAGTAAGACAAGACTGAGTTCTATTTCCATCATTGTATAATATAGATATTCAGAATTCTTAATGCGACAAGTTAAAAATTATAACGAAGAATAAAATTTAATGGAAAATAATATAAAATATTGGCTATGCAGATGACGCTGCTCTTATCACAGATAGTGAAGAGGCATTACAAAAACTGTTTAGCAGATCATTGGAAAAAGGTGAAGAATATGGGTTAAGAGTTAATGCTGCAAAGACGAAAGTAATGGTGTTTCCAATTTGTAAATAAATCCTAAAATTGATATTATAATAGGCAACAGGGTTCTTAAACAAGTGGAAAATTTTGTAGGTGAGGGTAGGAGGGTCAGGGGAAGAGACTGGGATGGATGGATGAAATTAAAAACTGGGTCCCTAGAGAGATATGAAATCATGGTGGATTGGTAAAAGCAGCCCGAGGATATGAGGAAGTTACTCTGAATGACCGGTATTAGGCGTGGCATATACAGTATATTGGGCTAACTTCCTTGACGATAACTTCCCAGGTAGATGGATTGGATGTGATGCCGGGTGTAATGAGCCTGTTTCCTGGTCCCAACAGTCTCCCTTAGACTTCTTATTTGGGTATGTCAAGGAAAATATTTTCCAGACCCCAGGTTGTGACATTAAAACATTTCGTACAAGTATAATTGATGGTATTAGAAGAGTGATGAAGGATAGCTTGACCAACACGTTCACTGAAGTGAAGTATTGGTTGGAGGTGCCGAGGTGCAGCACGGGAGGAACATACAGGTATAAAACTCGATTTGTTAAGCAATAAAAAGGCAAAAAAAATCGCATTAGTTTACTTGTTTCGGTTTTGTTGCATTCAATTTTATAACTGAAAAAGGACTTTGTAGACACCCCATATAATATATACCGATATATACACTGTAAATCTTAATAATCCATATATATAGAGACAAACAATACCTCACTAGTTAGAAATTAAACCAGATCCTCTACGTGGGAACAGGGAGTGTTACACCGGCACCACAAGGACAACAGAAGCCAACCTAAGCTTTGTTGTATTATAAACAAAGCCTGCTCCTTCGTGCAACAAAAGCCTTCGTCTGATTTAGCCCGTGTCAACTATGTGATCATAG